GTTTTTGCCATAGTTTTAGTCCTATTTGAAGTAATTTCTATAGCTAATTATATGAAGCTTGCAGAGGCCCGGCCCGTTTGTTGTACACCCTACACGGGTACCGTTCTTGGCGGTTTCGCCCCAAACGCTGGCGCAAACATCCGTTTACCAAACACAAAAGAAACAGCGGTTCCGGTCATCCCAACAGCCGAAGTGGTCAAACACGCTGAATTGGGGTTGAAACGCCAGTTTCCAAACGAAGCCGTAATCTTCTACATTGATTAATTATAACAAATACGGAATAAGTATTAAAATAAATATCTAGGTTTTATCAATAATGACATGATATATATTGCCCTCTTTGTGATATTATTATAATCTTATAATGTCATTATCAATACGTACATATTGCTATGGTTGAACCAAAAGAAACCGATAAATTGGAACCGATTGACAAACTAATTAGAACTAAACTATTCAGAACTAAACTCATGCATGAAAACATGACTTAATTGAGTAAAACCGCGTAAGCCGATCAAAACATGGCAAAAAACAATCGAAAGTTAGAAAAGTGAGAAAAAATGATTTTTAAATCTAAAAGTATGGGGTTCTCAAAGAAAATTATGTCATTTTCAAAATGTAATCATTTTATTTTGATATAGGTAGTGTCATGCATGAAATTAGCGATTTTCAAATTCTTGTTCAATTCAAAATTAGACAGAATAAATATAGTTGGTAAAAAAGGAATGATGAGAGTACACATTGATGGATAGCTATAAAATATGCTACAAAGGGTTGAGGAGAAAAAAATAAAGCTAAAGTGACAATAGCAGCTCGTAATGCAAATGTTTTCATTATAAATATGACAGTTTTGCTTCATCATTTTTCCATCCCTTCTACCACATACATCAGCTCGCAAATTAAGAATTACTACATACGCCTACGCACAGGCGCTGAAATGGCAATAGGAGAAAAAACAAAATGGTTCGTTATTATAGCAGGGAATGTTCTCGCAGCAATTTGTGGGATCATGGCCATAGTATCCCGTGTTAGTCCTCTTCTCTTTTCTAACTTTGGCATGTTTTATACAGCGAGTTTCTTCATATATACTTTGTACATCTTCCCTTATAATTTTGCCAATCTTTTGCTTTTGAATTATTGCAAATACTTTGACACTTTCCTTTGTACTTAATTATGACGTGATTCTTTTGGGAGGTGTATTCATTTTAGACATTTTAGCACATTTAGGATTTGTGTAATCTTGGTGTATCTAAACACGACATTTTAGAACTCCCGCGTGAGATATGTAATCTAATGGTAGACCGGAAGAATGCCTCTATTTTCATTTTGTTCAAAAGCAGGATCTGTCCCACTACAAAAAAACAGCGTTATAGTCACGGATTTTAGTCACGGATTTCGTCCGTGACTAGTTTAGTCACGGTCTAGTCACGGAGTTGTCACGGAATTTTTAAAAAAAAAATAGTCACGGTCAGGACCGTGACTATGACCGTGACTAAAGTTAGTCACGGTCGTGGACCGTGACTTAATTCCTCCGATAGGCCCATTTCCGTTTCCGGCGAAGTTTATTTGACTCCGACGACTTAGTCACGGCCAAAGCCGTGACTATGCCCGTGACTATAATTAAAATTTAATTTTTTTCAACTCCATTAGTTAATTCGCAACGGCATTATGTACGGATAATTGTAGTCACGGCCATATCCGTGACTAATTCCGTGACTATGTTGATTAACACGTCATTTACACGTAATTAACACGTGTTGGACGCGTGTTGGACACGGTTTTGCTTAGTGACGGACAAATCCGTGACTAAGTCCGTGACTAAATTTTTTATATATGCAGGAGCAGCTCATTCATTCAACAGAACCACACCAATTCATTCCCAGTATATACAGTATCCGTAGATCGAAGGATGTAGTCTATCTTCTATCATTTTCCCTGTTTATGCAGATAAGGTATGTTATTTGAATTATAATTTTTATTTAGAATTAGTTGGTTCAATTTAAATTATTAAAACTATTAAATTAGTGAGGTTGTTAATTAATTAACAACATGTTTTAACTATAAGCGTAGTAATGTCATAAATTAGAATTAGTTAAACTTTTAGGTTTATAAATTAAAATAATTTAATTAAAATTAGTTAGATAAATGTGGTTTAAAACGTAATGATGTTTATGTTTAGTGAAATTAGTTCAAATAACGTACGTTAGTAATGTGTTCATTAAGTGAATTGTGAATTGTTATTGTGAATTGTGTATTGCTTATTAATTCAAATAACTTTATATACATGTTCAAATTATTGGGTTGAATTTGGTCATATTATTTAATTTAGTGAATTGTTAATTGTGTATTACTAATAAGATTAAATGTCATTAACGTAATAATTTAGTGTAGGTTTAAACGTAGGTTTACAAAAATAATTTAATTAAAATTCGTTTGCTAAACGTAGGTTTGAACGTAGCTATTGATGTGTTAATTAAGTTAAATTAGGTAGCTAAACGTAAGTTTAAACGTAGTGATGCATTAAAAGGGGACGGAATGAACTAGTTAAATTTAGTTAAATTTAACTAAATGAATTAGTTAGATTTAATTAAACGTATGTTTAATATAGTGAAATTATCTGCATTATTGTGCATTAGGGGACATATATTTTGTGCATAACTAAGATGTGAATTCTGTGCATTTCATTTAAAAAAAGTGAAAATTAGTTGATTATATTTAGTGAAATAAATTACTTAAAATTGTGTGCATTGCATTTCATCTAATTTTTTATTATAATATTCAGGCATAATGTATAAAAAAAATAGAAGTTGGATGTATGATAAAGATGCGGTATTGTACGGAATGCAATCAAATTTTCTCGAGGGAGTCGGAGAATTTATTGAATTTGCACTTGAACATCCGGCTTATATGAGTGGTGATAAAATAAGATGTCCATGTTCAAAGTGTAAAAATCTCAAATTTAAAGACCCACACGAAGTTGGGTATGATTTGTACGCGGTCGGTTTTGTTCCCAATTATTATAATTGGACTTCTCACGGCGAACCTTTGGATCCATCTGTTATACCACAAACGGTAGGTTCGTCTCGTTACGTCCCTCCAGAGATGAGTGCGTGGGGAGACCGTGCTGAAATGAGGTGGGACCAACAAATGGTATATGACGCATACGGTGTACCGTCTCAATTCAACCCCCCACAACCACCTAACGACCCCCCTGAAGCCTCAACCTCGTATCAACCAGATGCGGATGAAAATCCGACATTTTATCAACCTTATGTGGATGAAGGTTTGGCTGAGAGATTTCAGGATGTTCTAAAAGCTGTCGACCAACCTCTGTATGCTGATTGTGAGGGATACTCTCAGCTATCCGCTGTTACTGAGTTCATGAACATAAAAGCCGAATACAGTCTCCCTGAAACTTGCATGAATAGAGTCTTGCAGTCAGTAGGAGGGATGCTACCGCGAGATCATACCCTTCCCGATTCATATTACCACATGAAGCAGTTAATGTCTAAGTTGGGGCTACCTTGTGTTGAAATTGATGCGTGCCCGGAAGGATGTATGTTGTTCTGGAAGGAGGATGAGGCACTTGAGTTCTGCAAGTTCTGTGGTGGAGACAGATACAAACCTGTTCGTCAAAATAAAAAGAAACCACGACATAGGTCTGCACTGTCTAAACTGTATTACCTCCCAATAGCTCCTCGACTGCAAAGGATGTACGCTTCGACTGCTACTGCGAAACACATGACATGGCATGTTGAGCACGAAACCAACGAGGGTATGATGGCTCACCCTTCGGACTGTGAAGCCTGGAGACACTTTGACCGCTGTCATCCTCAGTTTGCTATGGAGCCACGAAATGTGCGGCTGGGATTGTGCTCAGATGGATTTGCTCCTTTTGGCAGGTTTGGCAAGAACTATTCATGTTCGCCGGTCATGTTAACACCTTACAATCTCCCTCCCGACATGTGCATGAAAAGTCATTTCATCTTTTTGTCTTTAATTTGTCCGGGTTCCAAGGATCCTGGGCGAAAGATAGACATTTATCTCCAACCCCTTATCGAGGAGATGAAAGAACTGTGGGCCGTTGGGACACCAACTTATGATGTTTCATCAGATAAAATGTTTATCATGAAAGCTGCCATCATTTGGACCATTAGCGACTTCCCTGCCTATGGCATGCTTTCGGGATGGAGCACACACGGTCTGATGGGATGTCCGATATGCATGGAGAAATCAGGTGCCAACTGGCTCAGTTACAGCAAAAAAGGAAGTTACTTTGATTGTCACCGCAAGTTTCTCCCGGAAAGGCACCGATATCGAAAGGACAAGAAGTCTTTCATTAGAGGCAGAGCGGTTCGAGAGAGCCCACCCCCGAGATTGACCGGTGAAGAAATTTATAACCGGGTTCGACGTTTCCCTACGGCTATGGAAGAGCCAAACCAAGAGCCATATGGGTATTGTGATACCCATAAGTGGACAAAGAGGAGCATATTCTGGGAGTTGCCTTATTGGAAAAACCTTCTCATCCGTCACAATTTAGATGTCATGCACACCGAGAAGAACGTCTTTGACAATATATTTAACACGGTGATGGATTTGAAAGGCAAAACTAAAGACGGTCTTGCAGCTAGGAAAGATATGACTATTTGGTGTGATAGACCCGAACTTTCTGTTGATCTAGAATATCAGGGCAAGGAAGTTCCAAAAGCAGTCTACCAGGTCACAGAACCACAAAAGGCAGCAATATTAAAATGGCTTGCGTCTCAGAAGTTTCCAGATGGCTACTGCTCCAACTTGTCTAGATGCGTAGACATGAACAAACTTACCACGACGACGAGCATGAAAACTCACGATGCTCATGTAATAATGCAAAGACTTCTACCAATTGCACTAAAAGAGATGCTCCCTGAACACGTATGGTCCTGCATTACTGAAATCAGTTTGTTGTTTCAATCGATATGTTCCAGCGTTTTGGATGCGGCATCCCTCCGGAGACTACAAGAGTCTGTTCCCATTCTGATGTGTAATCTGGAAAAAATAATGCCACCATCGTTTTTCGATACAATGGAACATCTCATTATACATCTTCCGTATGAGGCTTTGACTGCTGGGCCCGTCTTCTATCGGTGGATGTACAGATTTGAAAGGTTAGTCACAATTTCATTTAAAAAAATATTATTTATTTCACAATAACTATTAACATGTGTATTATTGCATTATTGCAGATTTCTAGGAGAGCTGAAAAAGAAAGTGACCAACAAGGCACACGTTGAGGCTTCAATTTGTCAAGCGTATCTTCAACAAGAAATCTCAACGTTCTCGTCTTTTTACTTCGAGCGTGAAGTCATCACCAGAAGGAAGAGACCTGCCCGGAACGATGATATTGGCGAGGATTTATATGAAAATGTAGTTTCCATCTTCAATTACCCAGGCAGAGGTAAAGGTGCTGCGACACAACGATACATCCTGGGTGGGGAATTGCAAATTGCGCATACTTATATCCTCATGAATTGTCCAGAAATCTCACCGTTTTATCAGTAAGTTAAATTTGTAGTTATAATTGTAATACTTATAAATTAAATTTGTAGTTAATTTATAGTTTTTTTTTTTATTTTTGACTTCACAGTGAATTCCGAGCTTCTTTATCAGCCTTTCCTGAGAATGAAATAGATGCGTTGGTGGACTCTGATTTTGTAAATTGGTACAAGTATCAGGTATATATACACACACATTAATTATATATATTACCTAATGTTTACCTAATGTTATTATTATGTTTATATTTACAGATCAATAGTCGTGGGATTGTCGACCCTTTGTTAGTATCATTAGCGTGGGGCCCAGGTGCCAGTGCCAAAGTGTGGCGGCAATATGTGATAAACGGTTACACATATCACACAGCCGATTACGGAGAGGGCCGACCAACAACGAACAGCGGGTTATGTGTCCCGACCATCGGTTATGATAACTCGGAAACCAGTTTTTTTGGTGTCCTGCAGGAGATTCTGGAACTTGAGATGCCTTCTTGTGCGAAAAAATTGACATGCGTTCTGTTCCGTTGCACATGGGTCGACCCCACACGTGGCGTGCGCAAAAATCCGAAGTATAATATGATTGACGTCAACCTCTCTCGTGTGTACCCAAAAAATGAGCCTTTCATACTCGCCCAACAAGCAGCGCAGATTTATTATGCAGAATATCCTTCAACAAGGCGGACACAGAATCCTTGGGTGTGTGCATGTCCTGTCCGTCCGAACAAAATAAAATCACAAACTCAACACAAGGACGTTGATCTAGATGCTTTTCAGCAACAATTTTTCCAACCTCCGCCTATTGTTGAGACGGTCAACTATAACCTCCAATTAAGTGATCCAAATGGCGGACGTGTTGAAGTCATGCCAGAAACGCACCTTCCGGACCCAACCATTCCATCTGAGCGCGAAATTGAGGAAATGTATGTAGCACAACAAAATGCTCAATATCAGGAAGAAGGTGAATGGATAGACGGTTCAGATACAGAAGAAGATACTGTATATGTAGAAAATGACGATTCTGATAGCGAATAATTGTGCTGTTGTAATTTCAATTTTATTGACTTCTAATATTTGTGCAGATTTCTTCATCATTATATTACTCCAACAATATTTGAATTTTTTTCTATCTTTATCATTATTATTTATGAACAAAAAATTACTCCATATTAATTCAACCACAACAAGTTTTTTATATCCATATTATAAATTCAAAATAAAATTTTTCACAATTCGAAGTTTGAAAATTAAAATTTACCCAATACAAAATATGAAATTACTCTATATTATATTCTTTTATTTTCAAATTCGAAAATTCAAATATTATTTTTTATTTTTCTAAATTCGAAAATTTATTTTAATAATTTTTAATAATTCGAAATTCGAAAATTAATTTTAATAATTCTAAGTCTATTCGAAAATTAACAAAATTCGAAAATTAAAAAAACAGTAATCTACTTTTACTAATCTGAATATTATAATAAATTTAGATATTAATAAACAACTAACAGATATTTATTTATCAAATTTCAAAGATAAATACAAAACACACAATGAAATTGTCACATATTATTTATTAAACAACTAACATAGATTTATTTATTACATTAGCCTAACTAACATTATTCATTCCTCAATCGGAAACTTTCAAGAGGCCTAGCCCACAACTCCTGAATTTTCATTCGAGCTTCTTCGTTGATCGGGTCCATATACTCTGAAACTTCTTGTGCACGTTGAAGCATCCGACACAAATTTCTTGCTTTTGACTTGCCCAACGAGTCGGATTCTTCATCTTTATAATCGCCAAAACTTTCAAGGGGTCTAGACATCAACTCCTTGATTCTCTCGTATGCTTCCACGGTTTTCGGCTCCATAAGCTCTGTAATCAGCTTAAGTCGTTTCATATCTCTACACATCGAATCCCAGTCAATTGGACCTCTATTAGCCTTTTTTTTTTACAGTTCAGTCTTGGGGCGGAGAAAGATTATTTATACTAAAAAAATTCAAGTTGTCACGGTCTTAGTCACGGTCAGGACCGTGACTAAACCCTTCGTAAATGCCGAAGTCAGTCCGCCGGTCAGAGCGGCGCTGACAATAATAGTCACGGTCAGAACCGTGACTATGACCGTGACTATTTTCAAATTTTGAAAATAGTCACGGTCATAGTCACGGTTCTGACCGTGACTATTCCGATTAAAGGCGTCTCTGACTGTCAACGCTGACATCGTCAATTACGAAGGGTTTAGTCACGGTCCTGACCGTGACTATGACCGTGACTAAACCCTTATATAAAATAACCACTTAGCGTTTTTTTAAAAAATCCTACGCACCCCAAACTCCCAAACCCTAAACAACCTCTTCCTTCTCTCTTCCCTCTCTTCCAGAGTTTAGATTGTCCCGCCGCCTAGCCGTCGCCGCCTCGCCGTCGCCGCCTAGCCGTCGCCGCCTAGCCGTCCGCCGTCAACGTCTAGTCGTCCGCCGTCGTCCTCCGGCCGCCTTCGTCCACCTTCTTCCGTCGCCCCTTCTTCAGTCAAGGTTATGTGTTCTGTTCATCTTATTTTGTAATATTTGATTAAACTTCCAAAAATGCATGATTGTATACTTAAATGAATGATAAGATGCATGATTTTTAGTTTCATATCATTTTGTAATCTTCAAAAGATGTATGTATGATTTATTATATGCATGATTTGTAGTTTTGCATGATTAATTGTTTTATATGTTTCGTATGCATGATTAATATATGTTCAAATGTAGATTATTTTATGTTTAATATATGTTCATATGCATGATTAATATATTATCGAACTAATGCGTGCTTATACAATTAGTATCATGTTAAACATATATGTTTAGTGTTTGATTTGCATGCCTCTCTATACATATGCACTACTTTAAAATTTATTTCCGAAAATATTTAATTTAGGTTAATATTTTAAAAAAAACTGTTTAAATAAATAGCCCCTCGTGTTAAATTTCCAAAAATAGTTTAACACGTTTAAATATAATTTCCGTAATATCCATTAACAAAATATTAAACATATAAATTTAATCCCGAAAAAAACTGGACGAAACATTGTTTTTATAATTTATCTAAAAAAATCTGTTTTTATAAAAACTGTTTTTATAAAAACTGTTTTAATATAAACTGTTTTTATAATTTATCGAAAAAAACTGTTTTTACAAAAATTGATATATATAAACTGTTTTATATAAAATGTTTTATTAAACAGATTTTTGTAAAAAACAGTTTTTATAAAAACTGTTTTAATAAAAAGTGTTTTTATAAAAACTGTGTTTATAAAAACTGTTTTTATACAAACTGTTTTTACATAAACTGTTTTTATAATTAATCTAATAAAAACTGTTTTTATAAAAACTGTTTTAATATAAACTGTTTTTATAATTTATCGAAAAAAACTGTTTTTACAAAAATTGATATATATAAACTGTTTTATATAAAATGTTTTATTAAACAGATTTTTGTAAAAAACAATTTTTATAAAAACTGTTTTAATAAAAAGTGTTTTTATGAAAACTGTTTTTATTAAAACTGTGTTTATAAAAACTGTTTTTATACAAACTGTTTTTATATAAACTGTTTTTAAAATTAATCTAATAAAAACTGTTTTAATAAAAACTGTTTTTAATAAAAACTGTTTTAATAACTGTTTTTATAAAACTGTTTTTAATAAAAACTGTATTTATAATAACTGTATTTATTAAAAAACAGTATTTATAAAAACTGTTTTTATAAAAACTGTTTTTAATAAAAACTGTTTTAATAACTGTTTTTATAAAACTGTTTTTAATAAAAACTGTATTTATAATAACTGTCTTTATTAAAAAACAGTATTTATAAAAACTGTTTTAATATAACGTGTTTTTATAAAAACTGTATTTATAATAACTGTTTTTATAAAAACTGTTTTAATAAAAACTGTTTTAATAACAATTGTTTTAAAAACTCTTTTATTAAACAGATTATTTTTAAAAATAGTTTTTTGTAAAACTTGATTTAACAAACTGTTTTAAATTTATTTTAAAATGATATAACTAAAACATAAAAAAATGATCTCCTCTCATGTAAACTTTGCAAAAAGTTTAACATGTTACCTCCAAGTGCAATTTATTACCAAATTATTTAAGAACTTATTATGAAAAAATATGGACCCCTCATATTAAACTAAAAATAGTTTAATATGCTATACACATTTTCAATTAATAATACTTGTATAAATTTTTATAGTAAAAAATAATAAATATACCCCAAACTTTAATGAACCTTTAGTAGGCACACCTCAAACTTTTATAAGCGTTCTAACAAAAAACAAAATAAATTAATATATTTTAGATGAGCAACGAACAATCGACCTCGGCTCCCCGCCCTAACTATGCGCCTATGTCCGAAGCGGAGCGCAACAATGATGGAGCTGTTTGGGTGACGCCTGCAGAAGTTCTTTTGTAAGTAGTTATGAAAAACCTTATTTTCAATAATTTTATATAATGTTAAATAATCAAACCAAATCTTATATAAATAAATACTATTAATTTTTTTAAGTGACGAACAAGTGTTCACGGGCATCAAAAGCATCATCGGAGGACACTTTCTTGGCACTTGGGCCACACTGTCAGATGTTGACCCCAAGGTTCGCGAACTATGGTGGAACCTGTTCAAGGTAAAAATAAATGAATGTTCCCTTCCTGATTGTATTGGCCTAATATATACCTGGTGATTAATTAATCCAATTTTTTTGAATAAAGGCTCGCTATCGTTGGACTCACGCACACGGTGCCGATATTCTTAAAGCCTACAATGCTAGGATTTCGACCTGGCTTCGCGCCACTTTTAAACGTGCGCGAAAAAGTGGGAAAAAGCCTAGATGGGTTTCGGATGAAGTGTGGTCCAGCCTTTGTCGCCACTGGTCTTCTGATCCGAAATTCTTGGCCAGAAGTGAATCCGGTAAGAAAAACCGGATGTCCGAGAAGGCCTTGGAGATGCAGTGGCACGGAGGTCGTAAATCTCAGAATGCCCATAAAGAAACTCTTGTAAGTGCTATTCAAAAAACCTTACAACATCACATTCCTTCATTATAAAAAATTTAATTAAGTCTTTTTCGCACCATTTAGGCTGGTCCTGAGAAGAAGAAGGTTGATGTTCTCCGGCTCGTCAAGCATTGCTGGACGAAGCACGGCGAGGAATCTGAAGCCGATTTGCCACCCCGCCTCGCTGACTTCGAAGTATGTAACATCATATTTTGTTATTTAGTAACATTTCAAATCTAACTATGTAGCATTTAAAAAATCTTTTTGAAAATGCAGACGAAGTACAACGAATCCCTCGACAGGCAGCGTGCGGCACGAGGCTTGACCCAGGAGGACGACCTCGATTCCGATGCGGATGATGAGGCGGCCATTGAGGCGGCCGGGGTTTACAAGGGCCGGGTTCCGTGCTTGGGGGCCGAGGGGCAACGGATTTTGTATGATCGAAGCACCGGCGCTTCCTCTTCTCGGTCAAGGCGGGGAGAAGATCCCCGTATTGCCACAATGCAGCGTGAACTAGAGGAGCACGAACGGCGATGGGAGGAGCAGCGGAAAAGAGAGGAAGAAACAAAAGCCCGACTGGAGGAGATGGAACGGTACATGCGTGCCGGATTCCAGCCTCCGCAACAGCCTTTTCCTCCCCCGTATGTATTCCACCCTGAGCAAACTCCTCATGTTCCGCACATGGGCGGTATGGGATTTTTCCCCAACTCCGGATATGGTGGCATGCCTATGATCTCCCCGAATTTCGGTTCTATGTCCTTTGATTTTGCGAGGTCATCCGGAGGAGGTAGTGGCACACCGAGCCACGGAGGCCGAGGAGCACCCCGAGGAGGACCCCGAGGAGCACCCCGAGGAGGAACCCGACCTGACCTTGAAGACCCCCCCGTGAACCCGGATGAGTTTCTTGTTGATGATGAAGAAGAAGAAGAAGAAGAAGAAAATCCCAATTTTTATCATAATGGAGTCCCACGGGACATGTAATCATCATACATTTATTATTTGTTGTATTTCAAAACTTTTAAAAGTTTGTCACAATA